CGAGGCAAATGCAATGCTCAAACATCAGACTGTATCCACTGTCACGGTTGACACTTCAAACAACCGGATGATCACTGTCACCTCGATGGACGTAGTTGGCAATGGGTTACCACGTGACAAACTGACCATTTTGCGTTGTGTACAATTAAGCCGTTTCTACACCGTATTTCTGTCGACTTCTGGCACACGAACAAAATCCTCCGTATTCAGCATGCGCAATCATGAGAAATTATTTATAGCGAGTCACGATCACTTGCCTTGAGTTAAGGTATCACCGGAACGGCTCAGGTCTCGCCTAAAAAACGAATTTTTAGTTAGGAAACTTGGTAGTGATGACGTGAAGGTCACTTGGTTATTGCCATGGCATGATCGTGTTCTGGCAGGTTGTCACGTTCCCTTTGTATCCAGTCTTTGAACGCCATCAATGCTTCAGCGGCTTTCAGGCGATGCTCATTGCTACTTTCATTATCGTACATGTCTTCTGAAGTCCAAGGCACTTGGGACTGGTGCTGCAACGAATCAATTAATGATAACTGAAAACTAATAACTTGACTAAATTAATTTATGCGGTCAGTGGCGCAGTGACATGACGTAGGCTTCGAACTCTTACAAAATCTATCTTACCAACTAATTCTCCTGTCCATGGGATTCGCCCACATTGCTTCGATGCAATCAGCTGAAAAAGGATAAAAGATGTTTGACTTGCGAACAGTAGGACTAGCATTCTTTTCTGGATTGCCATATCAGAATTGACAAGAGGAACAACCATGCTGTCTGATGCGAACGGCTCTTAGGACTGCAATTCTCCAAGACCACTCTGGTAGTTGACTGGCTAACGTAGTAGTACAGGATGTAAGGCCAGGAGATATTTTAAGCTGGCTTTTAAATCCGAATGACTGAATCTTTACCATTCTTAGATTCATGATATATTGGAAATGCTCGAAAATGCCCTGAACCCACCTTACTCTTCAGTTCGTAAATATGAATTTAAATCAATAACTCATCACCAAACCATGTCCCCTTTTTAATATTTATCATTACCCTGGAGGTGTCACATAGAGCTCGCCTATTAAGCAATGCGTCAGGACTAGCATTCACATGTACGTTTTAGTTTATCTGTTTCAGTGCCTCCCTAAGCTGATGGCTCCTTCCGTAGTGCCCCCTTAGTTTATGACCAAACTCATAACAGCCTTAAGTGATGATTGGGTGAAAGTCGTCGCCAATCGAATGATCGTCCACGCAAATGATGTGCAGGCAAGCCATATGTGGCGCTCAACTGCGATTCCATAGTGAATACTTTATTTCAACAATCATATCGCATCGCACGAACAATCGTTCTTCGCTGTCTACATTCCTTCATCTACTTTGCAGGAGTACATCCTTTACATACATTCTTTGTACTCCGTTTTACGGTACGTTTGATACTTTAAATTTTCTGCAAAGGGCCAATGATTTTCCGTGACCAAATAGTCCCCTCTTTTTTCAGTGATCCTACGACAGTCAGTGAAGCAACTCACAGAATTTCGGTCGTTTCTTCCTGGTTATATTACCATCGTAGAAGCAGCGCCGGCAATGCAGCCTTGGTTACTGCTATCGGCCTGATTTATGCTCAAATGAACAAAACGTTACTTACTGGCATTTCCTTATCTGAGATTTTCTCCGATACCACCTCCCTAATACCTGTTCTATCCGCTTACCTTGGTGATAATGATGCCGACTGGATAAAGAGTGAACTTCATGTCGCCTAACTTGTTACTACTGTAAATCCTGGACACCTATAATTAGAATTTATTAATTAGCTTAATTAAAAGCCAACAAGCGCGAAATCACCTCGTACAGAATGCCACTGAAGTATTGATGGATGGCGCTGACGCATGAGTATTCATCCCCATTGCTGGCTGTCAGAAAGCTGTCGTACACGGAATCGTCGGCGATCAGCAGCAGGTCGATCGACAGGTTCATCGTGTTGTTATCGGAGCTATGCAATTCTGGGGCCAGTGGGTGAGGGACTTCGACAGAGCGCTTCGTCCGATGGGAGGTTTTGGACGGCCGCTGCAGATGAATACGCTTCAGAACACCGTTCCTGCCGATCTCAAACAGGGGCACTTGTGTCCTCCACGCTACGTAAGGAAAAAACGCACGATCAACGGCCATAAATGTCGCTAGCCACCAGCATCGGATTTACCCGCCTGTTCCTCGACGAAGACGAACGATAGCGAGCCGACGAGGAGGAATGCCGACAGAGTCATGGCCGTAGAAACAGTAGCCTTAACAGATCCGCGGTCGAGGCTGCAGCCTTGAATGCCTGATGGCACAGGCGTCTGACTGTCGCTGTCCGCAAACTGTGGAGGTAAATCCTCTGTAACGAGGTATACGGTTTACTAGCATTGCCATGGTGTCAGTGAGATGGTTTACTGGCAGAAACGTTAGAAGAAAATGAAAAGTCTGTAACCGTTGGAGTACCAGTCTCTCCTCGCTTTTCCCTAACTGAACGGCATGTGTGGCACTTATTTCATAATGTTTATGGCGCGGCGCTAATCGTCATTTCCATGTCCTCAGCTAGGAGAGTTTTGTTTCTGCTTTCAGGCAATATCTACAGCATTGTGACCACCATAGTGTAATTTGCTGTTTCCTTCCCATGAAGTGTTACCTATTTATTTAACTCTGAAGGGCAAGAAGCGGGAACCCCATCAGGGATTGAACTTGGGACTTATGGAGTCCAATGCCTCATTGAGTGAGCAAAGTCATTTTGAAACATGGAACATTAGAGCTTGAAGGTGAAAGGTTATTGAACGGCTCGAAGTTGGAGGTATTTAATATTTAAAATATATCTATACTGGATATATTTTGTTCTTCGTTATTGAAGAAGAGTGAAGTATTTATTTTGCTCGTTTGTAATCAGAGATTTAAGTACGAATAAAACTAATGATACACTTCAATGACACAAATTAATAAACAACTGAGGCGTATGCAAGACGGCGTGCACTAGTGCGATCATCTAATCGTCCACCTACTTGTTGCCTAGATTTCGAATTAGGCCTACAATAACTAGCTCATATATTAACTAGCTTATAAATAGTTTACAGAAACTGTTCTGTAAATACATTCCTCACATCTAACAGCGTCTAATGTTGGTTTATGTCCTCTTCGTTTGTCGAGGGTTCTCTGCCATCTGTCAATGACCTTTGACCCCTGAGTGACAGAGAACCTTCGATCGTCTGTTCAAAAGGCTGACATTATACACAACTTTTTACAAATTAACGCGATCTCATGCAATTCGGGTACCATGAACGATGTTCATTCATTTCAGTTGTCACGTATTTATTGTTCCTTCTTTGTCTTTGGGGCCTTCCCTTTGTCATAGTGCTATTATACAGTCTTCAAAAGATGTTAAACCAGACAGAAACCACTTCATCCATGTAGCACAA